TGGGGTGGTGGTGGGGATTAAACCCAGGACCTTACATGTTAGGCCAGTGCTATATTACTAAGTCATCCTCCCAGCCCTCTTAATAATTTTTTTAAAATTAAATATATTCCATAAAGAACACTTAATGGTCTATCCTGGAAGCAGATCTGTGAATCTACAGGACACTGAAAATTTTGTTTTATTTAGTCAGGCATTTCATATTCATCATAGGCCAAACACAGTACTGTTAGCTGAGGAAACAGTATTAAACGTAAGATATGGTCTGATTCCTAGAAATCAAAATTAATTGGGGAAAAAGGAGGGAAATAATACTAATACAGTAGTGAGGTAGATAGTAAAAATGTAGGAAAATAAAGACACGAGTGATGATCCTTCACTAGATTTTAAGACAAATAAAGACAAGAAATCTGTTCACTAAAGCATCCCATGCCTCTGACATAATGCTAGGAACATGGCAGGTTCTCAGTAAACACTAGATGGAAAAATGACGAAAAATGAGGGAAACAACCATCATTTAGAGATGCTTAACACTGGAGTTAATCCTTGATGGTAAGCAGTAAGTCTCATAGGCATATAAAATATGAAATCAAACTTAAAATAAAAGCTGCATTCTAAGGACTAAGACATAAGAAATTAGATATCTTTTGGCAATAGTTAATTATTAAGGAACACATTTACGCAAGTGATTGGTATAAATACTTCTGTATTTTATAAAGACAACTTTGGAGAAGTCATACAGGAAGAGAAAAACAAGTTTATACCTTTTAAAAATCTTCATCAGTAATGAAGTAGATGGGGTAGGAAATGAATGAATTCCAGATTTTTTGATTGAATAAATATTTGTGGATAGAAAATCACAGAGCAATACATATAGTTTCTAAGGAAATTTTCTATTTTAGTAGTAAGATATACAACAAAAATAAATGACAAAACTACAATATTAGTAAAATGATGTACAAATGATATAAAATGATGAACAAAATAATTGGTTACTTGGTTATGCATCGAAAGCAGACTTACACAATCAGTTTTCAAATTTATGCCCCTCAAAGAATATGTAAATTATAATTTTGTGGGATTTTTTGTTGTTAAAACGTTGTTGTTACTGGGGATCAAACTCAGATCCTTGAGCTTGTGAGGCAGGCAGCAGAACCACTGAGCTAAATTCCCCAGCCCTATAAGTTATAATTTTAAAAATATCAATTTTGGAATCAAGTATGCCTATAAAGTGATCCATAGTAATTTGAACTTATAGACAGTGTAAAAGTGGTTCTTATAGACAATGAAATTTGAAACATGCTGAAAATTCTTCCAAAATGTTATGAAACTATGATATCCCTCTGGATTGTCTGATGTGAACTCTAGAAGAGATAAAATCTTGTGCTATGAAATACTCTTTGGTATCATTTTAAATACATAACAAAATGCAATAACTTACACTGCCACAAAAATCGAAATTACTGACACAAAGCCTACAACATTATACTAATGTATTTAAATAAATAATCTAAAATTCCCCAATAAGGTATTGTTATTGTTCTGTTGTTAACAATGAGATTTAGAGACATTAGTTTCCTACCTAAAGTCACACAAATCTAAGAAGCGGCAATGAAATTTGAGCCTGTACAGTATGTTTCTCAAGCCGATCCTTTATTCTTCAATATACAATATACTACAGACTACTTCTGTACTGCCTTTCACAGGACAGTTAGTTACATTTACTTGCATGATTACGTGACATTTATTTCTTACAAGTTTGCTTTATTCCACCCAAAAATCTGAACAGTGGGGATGCCTATACGCCCAGCTACTCAGGAAGCTGCAGAAGATGGATCACTTGAACATGTCTGAGACCAGCCTGAGCAACAGAACAGGACCATGTCTCAAAAACAAAACAAACCAACCCCCCCGCCCCCCCCAAATGCTAATAGCTCAAAACCAATGGTTGGCACACACCAGTGACTCAAAAAATATTTAGTGACATGAATATACTATTTGTAAGTAAATACATAAAAACTTTTAAATATACTAAGTTCTGCTTCGTGTTCTAGCTGGTTTTTCACAAGTTTGTCAATCTGTGATTCACTGATCAAAGCATGATAAATTTACCTCATACACAGTTAAAAATTTTTATATTATATTATATTGTCAGATATGGTAGACAAATATTCTCCTCTTATAGTAACTAGAAATATGTTAAACTTTTCATAATCTGGCTTTTATAGCAGTCTCAAGGTTAAAATAGTGAATATTAAAATATTAAAATTTATGAAAGGGAAATACTATCTTGTGGTTATAATAATGTTATAGTATAGACATACATAAAAAAGATCATGCTGCCAAAAAAATTCTGAGAGCCAAAAAGATATAAAATAATGTAATTCCTCCAACCTTAACCAAACATTTTTGTACGGCTTTGAAAAGGAATCTCACATCCTAAAATCAAACTTACTTAACATAATTAACAACATAATACAGCTTATCTATTCAAATTTGTCTAATATAACAACACTTAAACAGCATAGCCTGGCAATACAAAAAGCAAGAAAAAAGGAGATAGAATTTAAATAAGCAGCCTGGTAAGTGGTTAAGGCTACTATCTACTTTCAGAAAATCACATTCCTGACCATTCTTCTCTGACCCACTTTCTCAAGAAGTGTATTCACATTCATGTAGAACTAGAAAGTATGTTCCTGGGTAATACAAGTTGAATAAAGAAATGAATCCAATCACATACTTGTCTTAATTCCCTAATTTTTCATCCTTGTCTATTTTTACATAGTAAGTTATTAATAAACTTATAAAGATTTTTTTTTTTGCCACAGAAAAGGAGAAAATGGGAAGGAAAACATGGGTAAGAGCTGCTATGCAGAAAAAAAATGCATCAGTACTTTCTTATAGTTCACTTCTTTACAATAAAACTAGAATGGAATACAGTACTTGGGTTCCTAATACCTAAGAAAAGATAACGTATACTAGAGAACTAAACCAAATTCACAAAACATTTTTGCTTTGTATAGAAATACATACAAAAGCCATACTCTAGGTCACAGACAAATCTGTCAAAGAAATCTTGGAACACACTTGTTTTAATGTTATTTTTCTGCCAAGAATAAAATACGAAAAGTACAAACTTGAACAAAATTTTCTCAGGTGGTAAAAATGACTAAAAGCAATTTTAGAGATTACAATTACTACATGTTCTGCTACAATTTCTATATCAATTAGTATATTTTATAAAAATGTTTGTAAAACCATTAAGCTTCTACAGCTCCCTAATTAGGAACCCTTTTTATAACAGAAAAATCGTATTTGTCTTTGAAACAATTCAGTATTTAAATGAATTCTGTGAGAAAATGGAACAGCTGAGCTTAAAGGCTGAGACAATGATGATACATAGCCAGTCTATTATAATTATTTAAAAGTTAGTTATACATTTTGTATGTATACCTTATTCCATGTCTGTTTTTCTCTATGAAACAGATTGTGGTTTAGATCACTTGTCTGAAAAGTAGTATCTATGAATGTAGTTAAAAGCTTCCCTCCAAAAATCCAATACAGGAATAAAGGTACAAATATACTTTGGCTACAGTATACTCAATTTAAGCATGGATTAAAAACCTAATAACTATGTTATTACCATGCTATCTTGTAGTCATTCCATTTGAAATTCTGATTCCGTATTTTGTTGCATTATTCCAGTATTTTTTGTTACTCACTCTTCTCGCGGAGCTTAGCCTGTCACTAGCTTTATCTTCTGCCCAGTTTCCTAGTTTTGAAACATTACAGTACTATTTTTTATTTTACCAAATTATCTCTCAAATCCAATTGAATTTATTCTCTCTCTTTAATTCCATCAACCTGATGTCTAAATATCTGTCTACTGAAGGTGCCCTCAAGTTTCTCATTTGTACAATTCAAACATTTTTACTGTTATTATTTTTCTTTCTTTCCTAACTTTTCAAACTTCTTAAGTCTTGGTCCTTTTTGAACCTAGCTCTCACTGCTCCTTAGCAGAGTTTGTATACTCTCCTCCCATCTCACCCACACTCTTCAGCATTCAAAGTTTTACCCTTTGTTCCCAAGCTGCTCTTTTCACTGTCTCCATCACCCTCTAACATTCAATTTTTTTTTCTTTTTGGTACCAGGGATCAAACTCAAGACCTTGCGCTTGCGAGGCAAGGAGCAGCACCAATGAGCTAAATCCATGGCCCTCTAACATTTTATTTTAATCTTTATGTGAACAATGTCTTGAAACTTCAATACAATTTTGTCATTTAAAGTAACACCTCAGTCTGCAAGTTTTGAGGGTCTGTCCTCCTGAAATTTAACATAACTTATAATCAAATTAATTCTGAAAAACAAAATAAAATTCCAAAAATTTCCATCTTTGGACAAAATTCCTAACAGAAATTTTAGACTCTATGACATTTACTTAAAGACAGCTAGTCACCAACTATCACTGAGACAACTTAGTATATATATATATATATGTTAATCACCTCTTATACATAGACTTAACACACTATACCATTTTTATATACTTTTACTGAGTTCTGAAACAGTGTTTTGTAGTGCTTGCTTCAGCGGCACATATACAGTGGAACCTTGGATCACAAACTTGATTTGTTCTATGATTTTGGAAAAGATGGTCATATCTGTGTTGATGTGGGGAAAATGGCTACAGTCATGTTTGTCATCTGATGCAGATTTTACAAACAAAAACAAAATTTTGCCAAATGCTTCTGTTTGCAAACCAAATTGCTTGCCAACAGAAGTACTTGTGAATCGAGGCACTGCTGTGATGAATCAGTGCTCTGAAGATATTATATATTATGTATTCTACTTATGTTTTTATATGTAAATATAATCATTAGTATACACCAAAGAAAACCTAAAATTAGCAGAATAAAATTTCACTGTCTAATCTCAAACCTTATGCTTGAAAGACAGCATGAACCTTAAGCCTTTTCATGAACTATGGTCAGTGATGGTCTTACCTTAATATAAAACCAATTTATGTAGTTGGCCAATGAACCAGTAAAACACTATTTACAAATGCGGCAACAAGATCTGCAAGCCAAAGGAAAGAAAATTCAAGATTCAAAGAAGCATTAAAAAAAAATCTCAAAAAGATCTAAGGAGAACTTCTCAAAATAATGTCATAATTAGAGTAACTTAATAGAAAGCATCAATAGAACAGTACTAAAGAAAGAATAATACCGTTAATTTATTTAGTTGCACTAATGGCACGGTTGATGTATCTAGAAATCCTGGGTCGGGGATTTAGCTCAGTGGCATCATGCCTGCCTTGCAAGCGCAAGGTCCTGAGTTCTATCCCCCGTCGCAAAAAAAAAAAAAAAAAAGTCCTTGTGCCCTACAGGTAAATACTGATACATTTGCAATAAAAATAATAAATATCTAGGATTTGCTTTAAAATTATCATAGGCTATGCATAAACAAGACTGCCCCATATTTATAAAAGTTGAAGTACAATAGGCATATATAAACATTTTTCTTTACAATGTCTGAAATGCTTACCTAGATTGTGTGAAGTTCTACACACCCAGCACCAGAGGTGGAAAATGAAGAACCACAAAAGGTACGTAAATAAAAATTGTGAAATGAAAGAATTTCCTAAATAGGACAGACATGTGTAACTACCAAATAGTTCCTCTGGTGTGAGAAACTGAAAGCGTAAATGAGAATCAAAAGGTATAATAGATAATGTGAAATAGGAAGATAAGGTCCAAAGGGGAAGGGGGTATAGGGGTTAGGGAAAAAAAATAAGAGAATGGAATATGAGAAAAGGAAAAAATGGAAACAAAGTCTTTGTAAATAGGGGTGGAGGGGTTGAAGGGAGAGCAGGGGGAATGGGGAAAAAGAACCAAGACATATTATGTAAAGGTATAAATTTCCAATGATGAATGTCATTATATTGTATACAGAAAATGTACCAATAAAATGAATGTTAAAAAAAAATAAATGAAAAAATTTCCCCCAATTTACCTATAAGCCTTTCTGCTTAAGATCCAAGAAAAAAAGTATGGTACACATACCTCCATGCTGAAAGGTGGATGGCATATTATTACAATTAAATGAAAAGATTTTCATTAGAGGAAGGGAAAGTTTTTATTCTGGCTCTTTTATTTTTTTGGTACCAGGACTCAAACTCAGGATCTTGTGCTTGCAAGGCAGGTGGCAGAATCACTGAGCTAAATCCCTGGCCTTTATTCTAGATTTTTACCAAAATAAAAATTTTTAAAAACATCAATTATTCTTCTATTTTTCCCTATGTCACTATACTCCCAAGAATAGTTTCAACATCTGAATGTAGAGCAGCAGTAACAAAGTAGTTCAAATGAACAGAGCCAAGTTTTTATAGAGATTACCTAGGTAAACAACTTTCAGGGCCTCTTGGCTTGTCAGTCTAGCTTTTTCATTCACAACACGTTTCTAATGACATAAAATTAACCAAAGCTTCTTTAAGAGCAAGGTCTGATCTTGTAACTTCAACCTTGAAACTTCAAAGGACCTGGCAAAATACTCTGCCTATGGTATACATTTATTAGTTGAATGAATGAATAAATGAATGAATGAATATGGCATTCCAACTTATAACGAAAAAGAACGTTGATTAAAATTAACAATAGTTATGGTCATAAGAATTACACATACATAGCTTATAAGTGACATTATTACTACCATATTTCTACAATGTTGATTTTGCTTTCTCCTCTTGAAAGACACTACTTGAATTTGTCAGACATGGTGGTGTGTGCTTATAATCTCAGAGGCTCAGGCAGAAGGATCACTGAAGACTTTGATGTCAGTGTGGGATACACAGTGAGTTCAAGGCCAGTCTGAATTACATAGTGAAACCATGTCTCAAAAAACCAAACAACCCCCCACACACATTTAAATTTTATATATATTAATATATGGTACCGGGGATCAAAGTCGGGTCCTTGCACTTGCGAGGCAGGTGCTAGAACCACTGAGCTAAATCCCCAGCCCACACATTTAAATTTCAAATAATCTTTTCTATCATGTAACCTTATAAAAAAATTCATTCATTCAATCAACACTGATTTAGTGACATGTGCCATGCAGAGCCTGCTCTAAGAACTATATTCTCCACAGAACAATATTTCTAAATTAATTAGATCATATGAATTCCCACTGAAATGTACCATCATCTCCAAGTTATAACTTGTTTACCACTCTCTTAGATTTGTATACTCTCCCTCTCATTTATTATGTACAAGCCATAGTGGTTTCTTCCAACCTCTGGGTATTTGTAGTAGTTGTTCTTTCTGCTTAGAAGACTTTTCCTCTATGTATCTTCACATGTTGCCTCATTAGTCTAGTATCAACTCAATACTATGCTCTTATAGCAGTTTTCTCTTTAACAGTCCTCCAAACCATCAATTCTCTTGTAACCAATTTTATATCAAGAGCATTTATTAGTACCTAAATTTCCATGTTCACATCCCTGCTCTTTGTCTTCCACTAGAACATAATCTCCTGAAGGACAGGGACTCAATCTTTTCTCTTTCACAGCTGAGTCACCAGCAAAAGATCAGTATACAATATATATTAAAGATCAATAAATATTTGTCAACTATGACTAAGAGAGGCAGACATGAACAAATCACAGAATAAAGGTAATATATAACACACCACAGAATCCCAAAGACAGAAAATGGTCAACCCTGAGGAAGAAGTTAAAACTGACTTTTAGGAAAGCTTGGGGGCTACAGAAAAGTACATTTAGAATGGGAAAGAATATAACTTAAATAGGGAAGGTAATTGTGAAGACCAAGTATTCCACTAGTAAGGAAAATGAGGGCCTAAACTAAGACATGCTAATGTAAAAGCAAATTTTACAAGTATTTCAGAGATAAAAGCATTACTATCCAATTGCAAATTTGATGTGTGTAATAAGGACAAGAAATGAGGTTAAGATGTCTCTTAGGTGTCTGATTTGGCCCAATTAAAGTACTGTTCTTAATCCAGATGGAATATTATCCCAGATGGAATATATAGAAATATTTCTAAAGATAGTTAGAAAGTTTAAAATATTAAGTTTGATGCACTTGCCTACATGCTAAGATGTTGAATAAGCATTGCAAACTTGGTTTGTAGCTCTTGAATCACAAAAATTCAACAGTCACCTATTTGGTCAACAAATATGTATTCTGCATGTATAATGTACCAGAGCTGTTTTAGGCACTGAGGATACAATGATGAACAAAACGGTGTACTTGTGCTTACAAAATTCAAACTACTGGGATACAATATTATATCATAATGTCAGTGATAAGAAGGCTGTAAAAGAATAACATAGGGACTAGAGGTGTAGTACCGTATAACGCAGTGGTAGAGCTTTTGCCTAGTATGTGCAAGGTCTGGGGTAGAATCTCAACACAGCAGGGGGGTGGGCTTGCCAACGGAGAAACGAGAAAGAAACAGAGATACAAAAGAACAGAAAGAAAATGTGATCAGGAAAGGGAAAAAAGATGAAAAAGGGTGCTATAAAATGAAAATAGTTGTAGAGGTGCCCAGCGACTAGGTTATTATGAACAAGTCATTATATATACTGCACAGTGACAGTCTTAAGACAAAATTGTCTACCTTGTATATATAATACTCCAGTATTTAACATGGTACTAGAAATACAATAGGTACTCATGTGTATTTCCTCTCTGTTAAAATTTGACTAAATAATGACTTCTTAGATTTGGGCCCAATTTTTGTTGTTCTTGTTTTTGGTAGCGGGGATCAAGCTCAGATCCTTGCACTTGTGAGGCAGGCAGCAGAACCACTGAGCTAAATCCCTGGCCTGAGCCCAATTTATTTTTTACCACTCCCTAAACTTCAATTCATCTTCTAAGGGCAATTCTAACAGCAATTAAAAAGATGATAAGCTTTAGTAATCTTCAAAAGCATTTTTCAAATGTTTTAAACAGTGGCAACAACTGAAACAAGGGGACTGCTTAGAAAGAAACAACTTAGAAGTGCATAACTTCTAGAATGTCTCCTTAAATAACACATCACTTTACAAATCCTTGACATTTTGTTAATATTTTATTAATCAAACTATAGTTTTAGACCAAGTTATGATCATGTTGGAAAGTTGGCACTCTCCTAGGAAAAGTCATGTAAAGCAGTTATTAAAAAAAAACAAAACGATGTACCAGTATATACAAGAGCAAAATGCAATCTAAAATAATACAATCTTGGTTTAAAACAAAGAATGACTGCACTGTGTCACTCTTCATAGAATAAGCAAGCGATCATTTAAAATTCATCACTAACAATAATTATTCTTTTGGCAGCTAATAATCTAATAATCCCCTCCTTTCACCCCCTCCTCCCCTCCCCAAGGGTAGGGGACAAGGGGAAAAAATGAGAATCAAGACCTGTCATGTAAAGGTACAAGATCCCAGTAATGAATGTAACTGTACTGTATACCTAGAATGTACCAATAAACTCAATAAAAAAAAAAAAAAGAAAATATACTTCATCAGAAACTTCCATAGTATACAGGTCAATATTTTTGCTTCATTCAACTGCTTTTCAATAATGAAATAAGTATATTTTTCTTTATTCTACACGTATATGCTAAACATAAATTATCAAGTTATTTTTTAAGTATTTAATCAATTTCCATGAAATACTATATTTATATTTGGTTCTAATTCTTGTGCACAGGCACCAAGTAATGGGTAGTGCAATCTTCTATCACAACACTTAGATCAATCCTCAGGGACTAAAAATTTTTTAAAAATCAATGAAGAATTACATAAAAACAGCAACTTTATTAAAAATTTATTTTAAATCAGAACACAGCCAGGTGTGGTGGCACATGCCTGTAATCCCAGAACTCGGGAGGCTAAGGCAGGAGGATCGCTGTGAGTTCAAGACCAGCCTGGGCTACATAGTGAGTTCCAGGTAGTCTCAATTACATAGGGAGATGCTGTCTCAAAAACAAAACAAAACAAAATCATTAATTAATTAAATGAGAACATAGAAGTCAAGCATAGCAAAAGAAAAATGCATCTGTATAT